TTTTTTTTTTTTTTTTAAACTCAAACCTAATAAGAAAATTGTGTTTAAAAAGGTTGATTAAAATTATATTTACAGTTCTCCAAGAAGCATTTAGAGATGCTCAGGTTAGCATGTGTTGCAAGTCATTTGAAAAGGTAAATAACATTAAAGATGTGAACAGGGAAGTAAAGCAATACAGAATTACATAAGCAAGGAATGAGGAAATGAGTGAGTTTAATAGGCCAACTATTGAATTATTTAAATTCATATTAAATAATGGTCACAATCACAAGAAGAATTTTATATTGAGAAAAATAATAGAAGAAGAAGCAAGAAAAGTGACGTCAGTAGAATTCTTAGACTTGAACAGCAATCAATCATCCCGACGAGTGTTTCTTCCTACGAAAAGTAATTCAGTTGGGTCTTAAGCAAATCCCCATTGACCTTACAGATGGGGAACTAAAAACAGCTCAATCGATTGGGAATCAGTGATACTGAGGATCTCCATGCACCACCAAGGAGCTCTGGTAGCGTAGTGGGTTATGAGTTGGGCTGCTAACTTCAAGGTCAGCAGTTTGTCTCTAACAGTCATTTTGAAGGAGAAAGATGAAGCTTTCTGCTTCTGTAAAGATTTACAACCTCAGAAACCCTATATAGGGTCACTCTGAGTCGGAACCGACTCAGTGGCACCCTACCCCACCATGCGCCATCATCCCATTTATATTTGTAGGAATGCGCCATCATTCCTACAAATAAGGAAAACAGTTGGAGAAGAACTAGATACACTGACCTCACCCCCTGCCCCCGTTAACAGACCACAGAAGTCCCATTCCTGGACTATAAATGCTGCCTCCCAGTACACGTCCTGTTTTAGTGTCCGGAACAGGATGTGAGCAGCAAATACCTATAAGACAAAGCAAACCCACTGCCAACTCATAGTGACCCTCCCCTAGGACAGAGTAGAACTGTTCCTTAGGGATTCCAAGACAGTAAACCTTTAGGAGCAGGCAGCCTCGTGTTTCTCCCACAGTTGGAAGTGCCAAACTTGCAGTTGGTGGGCCAATGCTTAATCCACTGTGACTAGTGCTTTGATGCATTTTAATTCTATGTTTATTTTAAATAAAATGAATGCTTTATATAGTCAAAATCCATTTACTTACTCATATATTTAGCTTTTCCATTGCTCTTTTTTTCTTTCCTGTATTTCTGACCCTAAAGAAAGTTCTCTTGGTGTGACACTGCAGGATAAGCACTGGACTGCTAACCACAAGGTCAGCAGTTCAAACCCACCAGTTGCTCCTTGGAAACCCTGTGCAGGGTCGCTATGAGTCAGAATCAACTCGACGACACTTAACAACAGCAACAAAGAAAGTTCTCTAGTGTTTCCTTCAAAGGGGTCTTTCTGTGACAAATTCTCTGCTTCTTTTATCTGGTAATATCTTTAATTTCCTTTTGTGTAGAAGGATATTTTCAGTGGATATAAGACTCTAGGTTGTGATCAAACATTTTTCATCACTCTAAAAAGATCTTTCCATCTTCTTGCAACCATCATTTCTTTTTGGAAAGTTAGCTGTCAGTCCAACTCCTTTCAAAGTAAACTTTTCACCACTGCCAGCACTACTTCACCATCCCCAAACTTCTCTTAGGACTGTTTTTTTTTTTCTTTGTTTCTGTGATTTCAAAATAAATGTTCATCTATGTTGAGTTTTTAAGGCTTCTTGAAGCTGTGACGTTACAACATTGGTCAAAATTGTGAAGTTCTCATCCATTCATTTCTTCCAATCTTGCTTCTAGTCCATGTCCCTGATCTTTTTCTATCAGGACTCGCTAACACATGTTAGAACTTCTCGTTGCTTGCTTTATGTATCTTCTAAGACTAATTTTTCTGGCTACTTTTCCAGTCCATTAATTCTCTCTTTAACTCTGTCTCACTGGGTATTAATTTCAACTCCTGTTTATCTCAGATTTATAAATTCCATTTAATTTTCTTGTTTATTATTCCCACAGTTTCTGCTCAGATTCTCAACTTTGTCTGGTATCTCCTTGAATATTATAAATGTAGTCATTTTAAAAGCTGAGTTTGAAAATACCAACACTTGGAAAGTTTTAAATCTGTGTTTGATAATACCAATATGTGGAAGTCTTGACAGTACCTGTTGAATCTATTATTTTTATTTATGTTTTCTTATCTCCTTGTTTGCCTGGCTATTTTTTTTTTTTTTTTTACTGTGTTCTAGACATTGTATTTGCAAAACTATTTACAGAAATAATATAAGACTTAGGATTTTGCATGCTCTTTCCAGAGAAGAGTTATATATTATTTTCCCTGCCATGTCCCTATGGAAACTAGTAATCTGGGATCTTGACAATGCAATTTCAGGTGTAAGAGAGCTTGATGTTAAACTTCAGTTCCTATGAAGTTCGGAAAATTTTTTGTTCAGTTTTACTCCTAGGTCACAGCCGTTCTACTAACCCAAAGCAAGCATGGCTTCAATTCTATTGACTTCAATTCTATTGACTTCAATTCTATTGTCTTAGTCACACGAGACTATGCCAATGAGAACTCAGTCATGCCATCTGAATTGGCAAAGGTCCAAAGGATTCAAAGATATTATAGAAATGACTGCACCCATATACTGACAGAATTTCCAGAGGGTCAAGCCAGTTTCAGAAAGAGACATGAAAAAAGGAATACCACTGCTGATATCTGATGGATATTGGCTGGAAGCAGAGAATACCAGATATAAAGAATACCTATGCTTTATTGACTATGTAAAGGTTTTCAATTGTGTGGATCATGACAAGCTATGGACAACATTGCAAAGAATAAATATTCTGGAACACTAAATTGTGCTCATGAGGAACCTGTACATAGACCAAGCGGCAGTTGTTCAAATGCAACAAGGGAACACTGAATGGTTTAAAAGTATGAAAGGTGCTTGACAGGGTTGTATACTTTCAGCATACTTATTCAATCTGTATGCTTAGTAAATAATTTGAGAAGCTGGATTATATGAAGAAAAAT